CTTTCTTTTGCTTTAGATGTCTCTGCTGAAAAACTTGTTTCTTCATTCTGCTTCTCAGAATGAAAATCTTCTTTAGCTTAGATCTATAATTTCATGCAAGACCCCCAATCCTCTGCTTCTTTCTGGACAGTTCTTTCTAGACTCTGTAGTGGCCAATGCCAGGATTTCTATCTTTTCATTTCTTTTCTCCTCTTTTATCGTCCAGATTTAATGGATTACATATGTGTGTTGGTGTTCCCTTCATTTCATTGATGTTTTTGCATATTGAATTATTTCTTATATTAGCTGTACAAGAATAATATGTTTAGACTCCTAAAAAAGATGAAAATATTGGTTCACATACCCATCTCTGACTTGCTTTCTAACTTGTTATGCTATTTGAATTTTGCAAGGGCTTACATTTTTGTTATAATCTAAAAACTTTTGAAAGTTTTTTGTTTTAATTTTAGTCCAATTTTAAAATGAATTTCACATACCCCAACAGTCCTTTGTCTGGATTTCCTCCATTGGACACTAGGTCTGGCTAAAATGTGTCTTTGTGTAGTTTGTAAAAGGCTCCCAAGAACCACATTTCCTTGGTCTTTGCATATTCAAAAGCATTGTGCTGTCCTTAAACTTGGATGATCACCGAAGGACAGATTTCATGGCTCATGACTTCTTTCTTTTTGAAGATTTTAAAGGCTTCGCCCCACCCACCCCCTCTGGTTTCTAGAACTGAATTTAGCTATAGAGAAGTCTGAGGTCGCCCTATTTTCTCCCTCTGGGTAGAGTGACCACTCGGTCTTGTCCACCTGGGAGGAGTCTGGTTGAGACTTACTATCTCAGAGTCCTGATGTTAGCCCCTCCTCTCTTATCACAGCCTCTCTGAGTTAGACAATAAGTGATATGACCCAATTTAGAATGACTTCACTTTTCTTCATCTGGATAGCCAGGGACTTCTTGTCACCTTAACTTAAACTTAACTCCATCCTTAGGAAAACCAGAACTTCTCCAAAGTGTATTTACAAAGTATCAGATTGGAAAGAAGCTTGTTTTAAAGTGTCAAGTGCTAAAAGCAGGAGGCTTTTTAAAAACATTCATAGAAAGTTTAACATTTGTAACAAGGTGTTGGAACAAAGGGCATGAAATAAAAGATCCTTCAGGCTCCCAAGGGAAGACACAAGCCTAGGGATTAGGAAAATATTTCCTGGAGACTGATCTAAAGGAGTGAGTAAAAATAAGCCCAGGGGCCGGGCATGGTGGCGCACACCTGTAATCCCAGAGGCTCAGGAGGCTGAGACAAGGAGGATCTTGAGTTCAAAGCCAGCCTCAGCAAAAGTGAGGCTTGCCAAGCAATTCAGTGAGACCCTGCTTCTAAAGAAAATACAAAATAGGGCCAGGGATATGACTCAGTGGTCAAGTACCCCTGAGTTTGATTCCCAGTACCCCCAGTAAATAAATAAATAAATAAATAAGCCAGCCCAGGGAAGATGAGTTGGATACCCATTCCAGGCTGGGAAGTAAGGAAACAGGAAATGTGAAGCTCCTGGTTGCCTTAGCTTCTCAATGTTCTCTTTCTTCCTCTCTCTCCAGGAAGTCTGCCATAGTTATTGTTGGTATAGCTAACATGGATCACAGAAATATTGCTCACACAGAGTATCCAGTCGATACCATCATCATCCACGAGGACTTTGATAACCACTCCATGAGCAATAACATAGCCCTCCTGAGGACAGACTCGGCCATGCATTTTGACGACCTGGTCCAGTCCATCTGCTTCCTGGACAGAAAGCTGCATAAGCCACCAGCCTTGCAGAACTGCTGGGTGTCAGGATGGAATCCCACGTCTGCAGTTAATGCAATCCTTCTCCTAGAGGAGGCTGTGTGTGTGCTGGCAGTGGGGTGACTCAGATGAACTGTTCTAGGGCTTATTTTTAATAATTCAGGCTATTTGAAGTTCTGGAGTTGGGCTGGAACCCTCACCCAATCATGGAATCTCTATATTACATGGGTCCTTTTTCCTCTAGGCCTATACCCAAACTGGAAGTGCAGAGGTAGTGGACAGCCTGAGATGTGCACAAGGTTATGGGGGGTAGGGAGTGAGGGTGGGGATATGATTCCCTAGACTAGAGCTGATTGCCCAGCCATCCCTGGAAAAGAAACAAGGGAATAGACATTCTCTAGATGTGGAGGAAGGGTGCATTGTTCTCTGCCTGTTTACACATTCGAGTCCAGAACAATGACAAAAACTTAGACATAGGTTCTGGTTTCTAGAAAGCAAAGGGATTTATGGGCACATCTACCTGTTGTCCTTTGGATATGTGAGTGGCAGCTGCACGGACACAGGGGACTGCCTTCTTCTTAATAATTCTTGGGCTCTCTGTTGCATGGTCCAGACAGGAAATCACATGACAATGAGTATCCTGAGGAGAATCTCCGTGAAAGACATTGACCTGTGTCCCTTACACCTACTCCAGAAAACAGGGTGCGGCAGTCACACACAACGGGAAACCGAAGCCGTCTGCTTGGTAAGAATGATAAAGTAGAACCTGAATCCTGAGACTGAGCCTTGGGGACGTCCAGGTGGGCCTGGAGGCTCCTCCTCCCTGCCTGGGAACCTCCGCGGGGGCATGCCTTGGGATTCGGGCAGATGGCTCAACACACATCKGCTGAATGAACAAACCAGTTACCATGTTCAACGCGGCATGATTAAGCAGGTCTAAGTCACAGATTTTTAAATGGGCTGAAAATGGGTGCCAAACTCCACATGCAGGTCTTTCTGAGCAGGTCTGTAGGAGAGGAGTCACTAAAACCAGCCTGTGTGGAATCTACTCTCCTCTAGTGCTGGTGAATGTCAGATATTGGGGTTTTCTTCTGTGAAAAAAGCCCTTCCCTCCCCGCATGCGAGGGCTGTACAGATACGCCCTTCCTGCAGAGTTGCTCTTTCTTCTCTTCACTCTCACCTCTCTTCTGGAGTGACTTCCTCAGGAACAGGGAGGCTTATTGGAGGAGGATACCCCCAAACAGACCAAACACCCTGGCCTCACCCTGGGAAGGGGCCGCAGTGGCCGCTCTTTTGCCTCTCTGCTTCTCCTGGATGAACCTGCTCCTTTTGTCAGACACTCGGGGTCTGCCTGCATTCACACAGTGAGAGCCACATTTCACTGCCTGTTCTTCCAGCCAGGCAGGCCTCACTGGTCCAATGTGGCTGAGTAGCCATTGGAGGACAGCCCTCTTCACAGACCTGAGATGGACCATGGGCTAGAGGTGGGTGTGGCACATTCCTTTAAGAGGAGGCCTGGAGTGGGGAGTGGGTGGGACAAGGAAGGTAAATCATACCCAGGAAAGGTCTTGTTGCTTTTCCCATTTTTCTCAACTTTTTTGTGGAGAACTGGTGGCCTTTTATAGACATCAAGATGATAGAGAGTGCATCCTGTGTGCGGTACCATGCTAGGTGCTTTGCATGGGTTAGAGGCATTTACTGTGTCCCCACTTGGACTCAGAGAGAGAACCTCGTTACTTGGTTAGGGTGGGGAAATCTGGGAGGCTAGCCCAGTGGGCATTCCCTGGGGGCTCTGCTCCCACTCTYTAGACATTCCCTTTGGGACTGCAGGTGGAAAGGAGCAGCTTAGGTGAAAGATGGGAGCAAGCTAGGGAGGAGAAGGGGAACAGCATGCATTCAAGCCAGAAAGGAGAGTAAGTAATACCAATATTTGAGGAATGAGAAGCCCAAAGAGGGAAGAAATAGTCAAAGTACTGGGGACATGAAAGGGACAAGAAAATGCAGTATGAACCAGGAAACTTCAGGCAATCGTAGGAGTCCCCCCAAATAATTTGCATTATAAAAGGAAAATCATGTTGGAATCCGTGGTGGTGGCTGGCTAGATTTGAAATAGTACCCTACAATCTGCCCTATTTCCAGGGAGAACCCGTGTAAAACATTTCTAGAACAAACAGCACAAGAATCTATTAAAAAAGAAAACCTGTTTTTCTAAGACCTGAAGCCTTCTGTCCTTTGTCGCAGGGGGAAGCAGGAAGCCCCATGATGTGCCAGCTACAGCAGTTGGATCTGTGGATCCTGAGAGGAATCCTGACCCAAGGTGGAGATACATGCCCAGGCATCTTTATATACACCAGGGTGGAAGATTACAGCGACTGGATCATGTCCATGACTACCAGGGATGACCATCCCCTGTTCTCACTCCAACACTGGGACCATTTTATACCTCGTCCCTCTTTTGAAGAGCACGCTGCCGTGACGCGGAGCACACATGCTGAAGTGAGCCACAGGAGCACACATTCTGAAGTGGGCCACACCAGACGGTCCCAAACCTCCTTCCAAGAACAAAGTAGTTCCACTATGACTTCACAGCTGAGGAACAGCACTAGAGATGAGCTAGACTTTAGGGAAAAGGGTCTCCGGGAATCGGGCAGATCTTCGGAGGCGGCCCTTCAACCCATGTACTATGACTATTACGGTGGGGAGGCTGGGGAGGGGGGGTCTTTTGCAGGTCAGAACAGGTTACATCAGCCCCAAGAAATCATCTTGGTTTTCTTCGTGCTTGTTTTCTTTGGCAGCGGTGTCTAGTCTAAGGGGAGCTAATCCACCAAACTGAAGAGGAAGCTCAGGATGCCACGTGCCAGGCATTCGCCATGATGCTGGGGTGTCTGTTTTTGATAGTTGCACACCTGGGCTGCCACGGACGGCCCCACAGCACACACTGGGCTGGCTCTCCCTCCTCTGTCCCACTCCCACATGCGGAAAGGTCACTTTCATTTGTGCTTGTGAACTAAACGTGGGCTAACAAGTGTCAAACCGTTAGCGTGCCCTGTGGTTCTTTCAGTGACAATGGTTCCAGGGGCCAGGTGGTGAAGACTCCCCGTGGGCAGATTAGCCTGGGAGGTGATGGCCAGCCTGGCTGGGGAGTCGGGGACACCAGTGAGAGGACCCTGTGACTAGAAGAGAGGGGAGTGCTTTAATGGATCATTTCTTGGTCAGCYATCCGTGCTCCTGCCCCTGGCTATTTCCCAGGGGAGCCAATTGCTTGCAATTCCTCGTTGCTTGCCTTTATTTTATCCCAAGCCTTGCGGTAGCCTTTCAGGGACATCTGCAAAATGGAAAAAGGGGAGGGGAAGAAGGTCAGTTGGGGAAATCTGAGTGCCTATACCTAATGGGGCACTTAGCCAGCCTTGCTGCAAGTGTGGGCCACCAGTAGGGGGCAGCACTCTGCCCTGCAGCATGCCACCAAGGGGAAGTGGCCATCAGGAGATCCTTCTAGGGAGCCTGTTTCATCTCCGTGAAGTGAGGAGTTGCAGATTCTGGCTGGAGTCTGGTGGGCCCAAGTTTGAATCCTAATTTTCTCCTTGCCACTAAGTGACCAGGGAAAAGGCAGGAGAAAGGAACATGGAAGTGGAGTGAGGTCCTAAATGCGAAGACACCAAGCCCCCAGTTTTCCTAGCAGCCTGACCCGGAAGCTATTTAAATGATGTCTTCCAAGTGGCCTTGGTTTGCATCCTGGCTGTGGCAGTCTTGACACCAGTGCAGTGTCTTTGTGTTGCCCATTTCTCTTCCACAGCTCACAAGGAGCCAGGGCACTTCCTGGGCACACAGGACCATATTCAAAGGCTGTGGGATTAGTTTAAGACAAAGGCCCACGGTAACTCTGTCAATGTATGGAACTGGGTTCTGAGTGATATTAAAAATCCATTGTTATCTCGTTTTTTAAAAACTGGCTTCTCCATGTATAAGGTAGCAACCACCAAATTACCTATGGTGTAGGGGGATTCAGAAGCTTCTAGAATTCACTAAGAAAACAACTCCCTGGGAGTAGGTGGTGCATGCCTGTAATCCCAGTAACTCAGGGAACTGAGGCAAGAGGATTGCAAGTTAGGGGCCAGCCTCAGTAACTTAGCAAGACCCTGTCTCAATACAAAAAATAAAAAGATCTGGGGATGTAGCTAGGAAGGAAGGAAGGAAGGGAGGGAGGGAGGGAGGGAGAGATGGAGGGAAGAAAAGAAAGAAAAGGAAAACAAGCAAATAAAAACACTTGATTGCGGGATGTGATGGCGCACGCCTGTAATCCCAGCAGTTTGGGAGGCTGAGGCAGGAGGATCAAAGCCAGCCTCAGCAACCTAGCAAGGCACTTGGCAACTCAATGAGACCCTGTCTCTAAAATAAAATATAAAAAAGGGCTGAGGATGTGGCTCAGTGGTTGAGCACCACTGGGTTCAATCCAAACATCCATAGTCTTAGCCCCCAAAACAAAATCCTAAACAAAATGTCACAGGCATGAAAGACTGACAACCCCACGGAAATGTGGAGTCCCAGCCCACGGGGCTCTCAGGGGCTCACCTCTGCGATTTCCACTTTCCTTTCCCACATCTTGATGGTCTTCTCCATCTCCATATTGAGGATCTTCTCCCGGAGGTACATCATCACCTGTGGCGCCCGGAACTCAGCCAGCTGCTTCCGCAACTTCTTGTTGGCAGCCTCGGCTTTGGCCCGGTCCTGGGTTGGAAAGGACCAATTACCCCAGGGAATCCTGGTGGCTTCTCCTCTGAGGACTTGCTGGCCCTGCCATCTCTCCCCACAGGCTCCATGTAGTTCAAATGATAACGGTTCCATATTCAGTGGGCGGGGAAATCATGAAGTTCTGCTGAGTTTTTTTTGTTTTGGGTTTTGTTTTGTTTTTAACAGATTGTGATGTCTTAATCCAGTTCAGAAATACTAATCTTCTTTCCCTTCATTTCCCCTTTTTTCTTTTCTTTCTTTCTCTCTTTTATTAAGGAATTCTTAATTTGTGTGTATGTGAAAATTGTGTATTGAAGTACACTTTGATCAGTCTCAATTCACTTTCCTGTCTTCTTTTATTGTAAAATACATATAAAATTTGCCATTCAATTGCATTACATACACTCACTGTTGTAGGAGTTCTCCACTATCCATCTCCAAAACTTTTCCATCTTGTCAAACTGAGACTCTGCTCACTAAACACTAATTCACCATTTCCTCCTACCTTCACCCCTTGGTTACCACCAATCTTCCTGTCTCCATGATTTAGACTACTGTAGGTCCTCCCTCTAAATGGAATCATACAATATTTGTGCTTTTGTGACTGGCTCATTTCATTTAACATAATATCTTCAAGATTCATCCATGGTATAGCATGTATCAGAACGTTCTTCTTCTTCTTTTTTTTTTTTTTTTTTTGGTACTAGGGATTGAACTCAGGGCACTTGACCACTGAGCCACATACCCAGTTCTTAGCACCTCACCATTGCTGGGGCTGGCTTTTAACTCATGATCCTCCTGCTTCAGCCTCCTGAGCAACTGGGATTATAGGCACGTGCCACTACACCCAGCATGTCCTTCTGTTTTAAGGCTGATTTTTTTTTGTACTGGGAATTGACTCTAGGGGTGCTTTACTAATGAGCTACTTCTCCAGTCCTTTTAGTTTTTTTATTTCAAGGCAGGGTCTTGCTAAGTTGTCAAGGATCTTGCTAGTTGCTGAGGTTGGCGGCCTCAAACTTGTGAAAATCCTAATTCAGTCTCCCAAATCTCTAGGAATACAGATGTGTACCACCCTGCCCAACAGAGTTAGAGAAAGAAATCACTAAGAAGAGCCCTCTTGCCAGAACTATACTTCCAGCTACTTGGAGGCTGAGGCAGGAGGATCCACAAGTTTGAAGCCAACTTGGGCAAATCAGTGAAAACCTACCTCAAAATAAAAATTTAAGAAGGGCTGGGATGTAGCTCAGTGGTTGAGTGCTTGCCTAGCATGTGCAAGGCCCTGGGTTCAATCCTCAGCACCACAGTGTCACACACACATGTAAACAAAAAGAAAAATCCTCTTGAGGTTTGGGCAAACTTCAAAGACTAGCAACACCTTGCCCCTGCAAAGGGCCCTGACTTTAATTGGATCAGGATGTGATCAATTGATGTCTTGGGGTGTTGTTGAAAGCAATAGAGAAATTGGGTAGCAATTAATAGAGATTAATAGCTAGGTTTGATGCCAACTGAGGCAGCCAGAAGTTTGGCAGAAAGATGAAAAACCGAAGGGAACTCAGCTGAAACAGAAATCAACTCTGTTGTCAGGGAGACTGTATCGAGACCAAGGCTGCACCCTCTGAGAACAACGTCAGAGGACACTAACAGCAAGAGAAGTAGCAAACTCCTGACCTAGTCTAACCAACTCAGTAAATGATGACAAGCCAAGAAAGGAGGACAGGGATTACCCAAAGTCACCATATCATCTAAAATGTATGCTTTTAACAAAAATTATGAGATAGACAAAGAAATAGGAAAGTGCAACCCACACAGGGAAAGAAGCAGGCAACATAAACTGTTTTGGGGAAGTCCAGATGGTGGACTTAGCTGATGATCTTCAAAGCAGCTATTCAAAGAACCAAAGTAAATCATGTTTGAGGACTTAAAGGAACACATGATGATAATGCCTCATCAAGTAGAGAATATCAATTAAAAGATTATTTAAAGAGAACCAAATGGAAAATTGGTTTTTAATATAACTGAAATTTTAATGTTTTTTAATATAACTGAAAGTAGAATTTCACCACAAGGGAATCAACAGTAAATTTAAACCATCAGAAAAAAAGAATTTGGGGTTGAGGTTGTGGCTCAGTGGTAGAGTGCTTGCCTTGCATGCATGAGGCACTGGGTTCAATTTCTAGTACCACATAAAAAAATAAATAAAATAAAGGTATTGTGTCCATCTACAACTAAACAAAAAAAAATTTAAAAAATCAGTAATCTTGAAAGTAGATTGATAGAGATTATGCAATATGAAAACCAGGGATAAAAAAGAACAAATTAACTGAATGTCAAAAAATGTGGATGTACATGCAATGACAGTGACAGAACAACAGAAGGAGAAAGGATCAGAAAAAAATATATATATTCACTTGATGGCTGAAATCTTCCCAGATTTGATATTAAAATTATACACCCAAAGAACACCTCCAAGTATGGTAAACACAAAGAAATCCACACAAGGCAAAGAGATTGTTCAAAACAGCAAGAGAAAACAATTCACCCTGTATAAGATGAAAGAAAGCCTAAGGAGATTAACAGCAGACTTTCATGTGAGATAATGGAGACTAGATGGCAATAGGATGAAACGTGCTGAAAGAAGAAAGAAAAAATTACTCTTACCACAAGTTTTATATCCAGCAAAAATGGTTTTTTGATAATAAAAGCAAACAATTGAGCACACAAAGATCTTGATTTCTGATGCCATTCTTGAAAGGGAGATGGCACTTCATATCTCTTCATATGTTTTTTAAATGAAGAAGTAATTAAAACATTCCCAAATAAGCAAAAACCCAGAGAATTCATTAATAGCAGACCTGCCTTATGAGAAATGGTAAAGGAAATTCTTCAGGCTGAAAATAAGTAACACTAGATGGTAGTAATTCAGAATTCACATGTCTTTTTAAAAAAAATGATTTTTAAAATGTAGGTAATTACAAAATATAATATTATTGAATATTTCTTCTCTTAACTGATTTGAATAGCAAGTGCATATAATAATACATGTATATTAAAGAGGGTCTATAACATAAAAATGTAACATATTTGTTGGTAACAGCATAAAGAAGGCAGGTTGAAACAAAACTGTAATTGAATAAGAAAGTAACAGCAGATGGTAATTCAGATCCACAGGAAGAAATGGAGAAAAACACAAGAAGACCAAAAAAAAAAAAAAAAAAGCTATTATAACAAAATCTGTGAACAAACTTCATCTTCTTTTTTTTCAGTTTTGAACCCTTTCCTTACACCGTTTAAAAAATTAACTCCAAATGGATCATAAACCTAAGTGTAAGAACTAAAACTATAAAACTCTTAAAGAAAGCATAGAGGCAAATCTCTATGACCTTGGATTAGGCAAAGGATTCTTAGATATGACACCAAAGAACAAGTGTAAAAGGGGAAAAAAAAAAGGACTTCACAAAAATTAAACTTTTGTGTGTTGTAAACAATACCATTAAAAAAGTGAAACAAAATCCACAGAATGGGAGAAAATATTTGCAAATCATATATCTGATAAGAGACTGAGTCCAGAATAGATAAGTCTTATAACTCAAGGCTAAAAAAAAGTAAATAACCCAATTAAAAACTAAGCAAAGAACATGAGTATACATTTCTCCAAAAAAGGGATAGACATGTGACCAAAGATGCTCATCATTAGAGAAATTCAAATAAAATTACATTGAGATACTACTACACACCAACAGCAATGACCATTAAAATTTTTTTTTTCAAAATTACAAGTGTTGATGAAAATGTACAGAAATTGGAAGACTTACACATTGCTGGTAGGACTATAAAATGGTGTAACCACTTTGCAAAACAATTTGGCAGTTTCCCTAAATGTTAAACATAGAGTTACTACATATAACTCATGGTCTCCTTTGAGGTATATGTCCAAGAGAAAAGAAGACACATAGTCACATAAAAACCTGTTCAAGATCCAGCATTCTTCATCTTTGCCAAAAAGTAGAAACCCAAATATCCATCAACTGATGAATGGAAAAATAAAATATGATCTATCCACATCACAGAATATTATTCATCCATAAAAAGAAACAAAGTATTAGTGCATGCTACAAGGTGAACTTTGAAAATATTATACCATATTAAAAAAGCCAGACATGAAAGACCACATATTTTATGACCCCTTTTATATGAAATGTCCAGAACAGGAAAATCTGAAGAGATAGGAAGTAGATTAGTAGTTGTCTGGCTGGAGAGGAAATGAAGTAATGTAGGGAAGAGAGGACTTATAATAGATACAGGGTTTCTTCTTGGGGTGATGAAAATGTTGCAAAAAGTTATTGTGCTGATAGTTAACATAATTCTGAATACACCATAAACCTTTGAACTATATATACTTAAATAGGTGAGAGGGGTGAATGGTGGTTATATCTCAATAAAACCGGTTTCAAAAAGTTAACAAACAGAATCCCGGGCATTTCAATACACTGAGTAGTGAATGGTAGACTTTTAAAAGTCAATTTTAAGTTTTACTCATTATCTAATCACTATCAACCCCGGGAGAAAACAAGTAAGTGGCACAAAAATCCTTCGTGGAGTGAGAACACTGGCTTCTGCTTCAGCTTTGTCACCTGTCACACTGTATTGAAGCTGAGACTTTTGCAGAGAGGGTTGATTCTCCATTGAGGCTACTGTTATGGTTTGGATCCAGAATGTCCCTCACAAGTTTGTGTGTTGAAAAGGTCCCTGATGCAGTAAGGTTCAGAGGTGAGGATATTGGCAATGATTGGATCACAAGGGCTCTGACTTCATCAGTGGGTTAATCAAAGGGATTAATCCATTGATACGTGGGTGGACCACTGGGAGGTAGGACCTAGGTGAAGTAGGACACAGGGGGTGTGCCCTGGAAGGGTCTATCTCATTCCTAACCCCTTCCTCCCCCCTCCTCCCTCTCTCTCTCTCCTTCCTGGCTGCCAAGAGATGACAGCTCTACTCCACCAGCCCTTCCACCATGATGTTTCTGCCTTGGAGCCAGCTCACCATGGATGGAATCCACTATAACCATGAGCCAAAAGAAATCCTTCCTTCTCTAAGTTGTTTTTGTCAGTATTTTGGTCACAATGACAACCTGACTGATGTAAATATGATGTGGATGGCATGGCAAAACTGAGTCACAAGTAGCCCCGTGGGCCATTGGGGACAGGTTTGGGGCCACACTGATGGGCACACTTCAGACCTACTCAAGATAGCAACACTAATTGTACTAATGGCGTTTGAGGTTGACAAAGCATCATTATGTGTGGTCTCACCTGATTGTCACAATAATTTCTATGTTACATTTTGGAAACCGGCCTATCTCATTTGAAGTCTTATCCAGATGGGAGAGAGATATATACAGCTCAGTGTTAGAGTGCTTGCCTAGCATATATGAGGCCCTGGGTTAGATCCCCAGCAGTACCAGAAATTTTAAAAAAAATAATTAAATAAAGGTTTATTCAAGACCAGAAGCTGGCAGCATGAAACCCAAGGCCAGGCCATTTAACTGTGGTGTCCAGTGCTCTTTTTCTCCCATCCTTCCCAAAAGCTCACATCCTATGTGTAGCTGAGTCACATCCTGTGTGCATTAAAGTTACAAAAATTCAGCTCCATGTGCTCAGAAAATAATGCAAGAGATAACTTGCAGGCCAGATATGTAGGGAGGTCAGCTGATCCCTCTCACCTTTCCACACAGTGACCACAGGTTCTGGAGTGAGCCTGGGGCCGAGGTCATAGGTCTGCCATCCTTCACAGATAGGCAGTGCACCGAGGAACCAAGGTCAATGCACCAAGAAATAGTTATTTTTAAAAGAGCATCTCTCTCTCTCTCCTTTATTCAAAACATTATATGTTGTCAGGTGTACTTTTGTCATATCAGTTATATGACCATGTTATATACATTTTCTATTCGATTGCAGGACAAAACTGAATATCTTATTTTACAGATGTATGTGTTATGTGGACTCTGTGAGATTTTTAATTCACTCTGGACCCTCACTCCACAGTAAATGTAACACTCCTGGGCTGTAAGTCCACCTTCTGCTTTGATGGCTCTGAGCTATTTTGATGTTTCTGGTCTAGGCTTCCCGAGATACATAACCAAGCACCTTGGATTTGGGTGGACACTCACACAAATCCTCTCAGACAAGAGACAAACGTCAGAAACGTCTCGCCCTCTCCTACCTCCTCTACTTGTATGGTTTCTTTATCAATTTTTTCAAGAAGCTCTTTTCTCAGCAAGATCTCCTTGCCCAGACTGATGAACATTTCCACCGCTCGCTGAAGCTTGCTCTGAAACACAACAACACAGCGGGTCTTGAGCTGAGAGGCCTCTCAAAACGGCGGGAGGGTAGACAGCAGAAAAACAGGACCGTCCAGGAACTCGGTCTTGCCCTTCTCACGGGTGCCCAGGTTTTCAGAGTCTGAGAACTGGCAGGGGAGGAGAGATGGACAGTGGTTGGAGACACCAGAATCCACTGTTTACTAAGGGATGCTTTGTACAAGTCCCAGACTTCTCTGAACTTGGACCAGTCACCTTATATTTTGGCAAGGTTACAGGAGATATCCTGGTAGAGAGCCTGGCACACAGTGCCTGGCATACGGAGGACATTGGACAAATGGTTGTCATGACTACCTGGTGAGGATGGAGAGGGAGGGGTACTCCACAGGAAGTGGGTGCTACCATTATCTCCAGTTAAGTCACTGAAGCAATTTGCCCAAGATCACAGAGATGGGGAAGGCAGGATTTGAATCCAAGCAGTGTGATCCCATGGGCTCCATCTACCATGATGCTGGGGGATGGGGGGATCCTGCAAAGCTCCCTCAAAGGTTCCCATTTCATCACTTGCCCTTCACCAGCTCCCCGAGGTCCCTGCTTCTCAGACTAGTCCCACTGTGGGTACTGTCCCCCAGGGGGGAGTCAACCAGAATAGGTGAGATATGCTTTGCCTGGCTGAGGAGTGGGTCAAGGAAAGGAGCCAGGACTTTCCAGGTGCTTCTCAACAAACCCACATAATCCACCCACCCACCCTGTCCCATTCACTGTTTAGGGTAGCCAGCCAGGTCCTGCCTCTGGGAGGCCGGCTCAGAGAGCTGGAGGCAGTCAAATAAATGCAACAAGAAACAGCAGACAGGACCGGGTCAGGGAAGGTTGTCTGGGGAAGGAATGCTGGAGAGACAGCTGAACTGGGGACAGCTGCAGGAAGAGGGAAGAGAGTGACAATCCAAGCCGAGGAAAGAGCCTGGGGAAGAGGTGCAAAAAGAACTGGGAGAGGAGAGGAGGGAGCAGTGGAGTCCCGCAGTGGAGTCCCACAGTGGAGGCAGAGCGGGCTGTGCAGGGGTGCTGCTCCAGGGGTCAAAACTTAGGCAAAGCGGAGCCAGAGCCCCCTSCCGGGGGCACCTTAGGCTCTGGGAGTCATTCTCCTCCCCACTCCTCATCTCCCCAGCCTGCCCTCCTTTAAGGCTCATTTCCTGCTCTGCCTCCTGCACCTGAATAGGAGGCCAGACTCAGGGGGTCAGCTTGGGCTGGGGGAGGCAGGACAAGACTCCGCTGCAAGCCAGCCATTCAGGGGGATGTATAGAGAGCAGAGGGAAGACATGTACCCGCGACTTAGAGGATCAGGACAGAGTGGACCTGCAAGGGCCACAGCAAGGCCAGGGCTGGCTCAGGTGGGGCAGGGTCTTCACAAAGTGTGGCAAGAGCTGGCGTCCAAGGCTCTGTTCAGATGCCGGTCACTTGAGGAGGCTGCCGCTGGAAAGGCTTCCAGAGCTTTCTATCGTGGTGTGGCCAATTACCATAGACTCGGAGGTTTAAAGCAACAGCTACCTGTTATCTCTCAGTTTCTATGGGTCAGAAGTCTGGGCACAGGGTGGCTGCATTCTCTGCCCATGATCCCCGCCAGACTGAAATCAAGGAGTGGCCAGGACTGTGATTCTCGTCTGGGGCTCGGGGTTCTCTTCCAAGTTTACTCATTGTTGGAATAATGCACTTTTTTGAAGTTGGAGCATTGAGGTCCCATTTTCTTTCTGGCTGCCAGCAGGAGGTCACTCTAAGCTCCTAGAGGCCTTGCTAAGTGCCCTTCCACACGGCCTCTCCGTCTTCAAGCAATAATGGAGAGAGTCTGGCCTAGGAAATTTCCCTTGTGCTTCACGTATCTGACTCCTTGGCAGAGGAACTCTGCTTTCAACAGGATCACGTGATTGGTCAGCCCCGACTGGATAAGCTCCCCACCTTCAGGTCAAAGGTGCCATCTGACATAACCAATGCAACAGGTAGAACCTCAGGACCGAAGCTGTCACGTTCACAGCCTTGGCTGGAATGAGAAGAGTGAATGCACCCGGGGGAAGGGTCTGGGGGACGTCTTAGCGGTCTACCTTCTCTAGGGCACCCAGTCACTAGTTCTGTCAGTCAAGAGGGACTTACTGCAGCCGAAAAGCCACAGGCTTGTGCTCTATCAGACACACCAGGCAGGTTCGAGGGCATAAAGTCACAGGAGAGTGATCATGATCTGATTCAGGATCACTCAGGATAGTCACAGAAGAGACCTCATCCGTCTTGTGCTGTCTAGGCACGAGACCCTCGGCACTGGATGTGTTTGGCAGAAGGTAGGCCTTGGTACTTTTGCTAATAGAGGGAAGTTATTCTGTGTGTTTTTAACAAGGTCCACTTTGGGGTCTTTGATATTTATTTCAAAGTGGCCCCTCCTGTTGCCTGTCTTCCCCCGACACACACACACAGCCAATACTGTCAAGTGAACTCCCTTCCCCACCCCACGCTGCCCCCTGAATCTGGTCTCCTACTCACGTGCAGGATGTGCAGCAGGAAATGAGTGCAGCCTGAAGAGAGGAGGAGTGGGGAGGAGAATGACTTCCAGAGCTTAAAGTCCCCCAAGGCAGGGGGCTCTGGCTCTGCTTTGCCAGCTTTGACCCCCTGGAGAAACACCCCTGTACGGCCCTGCTAGGCCTCCACTTTGACTGTGACCCTGCTGCTCTCTCATCTCCAGCAGTTCATTTGATAATATTGGCTGAGCCCTTTCTCTGCTGGGGGACACATCCTGGGTGGTAAGGCACAAAAAACTCACATCTGACAGGTGAGGCGTCTTGCCCCAATGAAGCATCTCCCCCTGCACGGCCACCTGCAATCCCAGGTGAGGTCTGACCCACATTCACAGCTGTTCTGCCTCCATTTCCCCAGGAGAGCTGAAGTGGGTCACGGAGGAAGTGGGTCGGCTTGACCCTTGACCTGCTCGCGTCTACCTGTGGACTCCCGTGGGGCAGCTCCCCCAAGTTCCGCCATCTGCTTGCCATCACATACAAGAGATCTATGGGCACAGAACCAGAATGGCTCCTGTTGGGCCCCCGTTGGCCTGTGCGGCTGCTGCTCCTCTGGTGTTGCCACTGTCTGCACTGTGAGCTTAGATTCGACTTTACAGAGCTCAGGGCCTGCACCCTGGGCAGATTCGTTTTATAAAGCAGTAGCTCTCCTTCCCAAATCCCAAGACCAGACAGGTCCTGTGCTGGTTAAGTGATTCCACAGGATAAGATGCAGGTCCAATGTGGCCTAGGCACCTGTTAGCCAAGGTGGTCCGCAGCAAAGGCCCGGGATGCCCAGGGACTGGCCTCATCTTGAAAGAACAGTGATCAGATACCAAGTGTGATGAGATAACCTAAAAGTTGGACGTTCGTGACACATGAACTTCAGAATGCCAGCACGATGTTTTCTACATACTGTAACCCAGGGAAGGCAGCTGAGGGGGACACACACTGAGATGGGCATCCTGGCTCTGCCACTAACTTGTGGCTTGAATCTGGCTAATACTCTCTGCATCTCTGAGCCTCCGTGTTTTCCATTTGTGAAAGAAAAATGTTGGACAAGCATCAGCCTGATCTAAACATATTCAAATTTACATTTTTAAATGGCACTGTGTGGGCCAAATGAAGGCCACCTGTAAGCTACCTATCTAGGCTCACAGCCACCACTGCTACCTGGGCACTAGGCCAGGAGTCAGCAAACTTTTTCTATAAAGGAACAAATAGTGAATGTTTTAGACTTCATTGGCCCAGAGGCAAAACAACCATAACTATTACATATTCACTTATATTAATAAGAGAAAAAAACCCCAATCCTACAAATGTTTTATTGATGATCATATGTTTTATTGATAAAATGATAATTGAGTATGATATATTGGAATATGGGTCTACTAGGGAATAGAATGGAATTTCAAGGGAAGAAGTAATTTTGCCTAACCGGGTTTCATAGTTAGTATTCTCTATCATCCAGTCAGTTGCAGATGTTCTATAAAAGCCACTCTTAGCTCACAGGACACCGGATGGAAATACATTGGCCCAGTTTGCTGACCACTATGTTAGGTGGTTGCTAGAAGGTAACCAGATGGCCTGGTCTGCTGGGGACAGGCCCTATTCATGCCCAGAATCCCTGCTTAATTATTAATAGTGCCTTTTCTCTCCCAAAAGCATTGCATTTGGATGATAAATAATTTAGTAGTTTTCTGATTTTATAGCTAAGACTGTTTTCCTTTACAGGGTTAGAAGCAGGGAAGTACTTACTATGTGCCTACATTAAACAGGGCCCTAAATGCGGTGGTGTGTAAAACTGTGTGTGTAAAATTTATCCCTATTTCACTTAGGGTAGGACTAGAGCATTGGTTTATTTTTTTAAAAAAGAAAATCTCACTGGATATAGTATTGTACGCCTATAATCTCAGAGGCTCGGGAGGCTGAGGCAAGAGGATTGCAAGTTCAAAGCCAGCCTTAGCAACTCAGAGACCCTGAGCAACTTAGTGAGACCCTGTCCAAAATTATATATATATAAAAGGCCTGGGGATGTGGTTCAGTGGTTAAGCAACCCTGGTTTCCATTCCTGGTACCCAAAAGAAACAAAAGAAAACCCTCCCCACATGGTTCTTGTGTGTAACCAGGGTTGTGGAACCATTTGGATGCTGAAGTGTTGGGTTTGAAACCTAGTCCTCATCCAGGGGCTGGAAATCTGGAAGCAGTAGGCCTGGTGGGGGTGCTCAGCACTGGGGTGGGCCTTACTTTGTATGCGTTGAGGATTTGCAGGGTATTTCCGGATGACAGTTTCAGCTGGATCAGTTCTTGATTCCGTGCTTCAATTGTCTCTAAAAACTGAGCATTCTCAATCTTCAACTGCTGAAAATCAACATCATGGAGTGCCTCGCCCACCTCTTCCTTCTACGGCTCAGAAAGAAGAAAAGATGTTATGTTCAGGTGTGACTTCACACCTGCAACTTGGTGAAACTTTGGAGGTCGGTCATCACTTAGTCATTCAATGAACATGTCTTGGACATCTGCTCGGTACCAGGCATGGTGCTAGGTGCTGGAGATAGATTAGAGTAAATGTAATGCTTCTTAGCCTTGAGGAATACATATGAGGGTCTACGGCTGTAGGTGCTAACTCAAGAGTGGTGTGGGTGGGGGGCAGGAGGTGGACAGGGGCAGAGTGCAGCCAGGCCAGGGCAGGCTTCCCAGAAGAGACAGTACCCAAACAAGCATGTGAGGGAAAATTAGGAATCAGGCCATTTAAAAGTCATTTTAAAATCTGGAAACCCCAGAAAAAGCAGCCTCTAAATTCCCCTCCTTTGATCCTAGGGCATTACTGTAGAGCAGGTGTGTCTACATGGCCTCTCTGATTGGCCGCACCAGGCTTCTGCCATCTTATGTTTGTGGTGGCAATAGCCCAACTCAGGGGCTGCTGTTCCCCACAGTGCTCTGCTCTGGCTGTGTGAGTTCCAGGGCTGCTTCTTCCCCATGAAGTCCTTATGCCCAAATATGACCCATCCTCCTTCTCCATCGCTCCAACCTGTTCTTTGTACCTGGGAGTCAGCCTCTCTCCTGAGCCTCGAGAAGCTTTAGCTCTGGGTCTTTGCTACTGTGGTGGCCTCTGTGCAGCACTGGGCCTCCTCCCCTTCTCTCAACGACACATTAGTCTGAGCTCAACAGTGCAGGGCCCAATCTGTGTCATTTCTGTGCAGAAATGGTGTGTGGGTGGAGGTCATCCTTCTCCTCCCCAAGTCAACCTTAAAGTCCCTGTTTCAAAATGGCTAAATCTGCATGGACTCCAAGAACAAGAACTCACGCTCTGCAGGCAGCTCCCCTGGGGCAACGATCCTTCTTACACTGACTCGAAGCTCTTTCCCTGACACCTCCAGCCCAGGCCCAGCTCGGGCCTCAGGGCCCTGTCAGTTGGTATGTTCACCCTCCATAAGTCCTCGGAGACAGTGGTCATGGCCATCCTGGGCGCATTGTCCCAGATCTTCCCACGTGTTTTCTACTCCCCTCGCCAACATCTTCACTCTACAAGAACTCTAGTCTGCTATTCTTCCCAGGGTGGAGCTCATGCCAGATGTAAAACTCCAGGTCAGGGCTACTCAGAACAGCGCAGAGCAAGGCCAGCCCTTTCCTGGTCCGGGCGCCATGTTCCTCTGGGGGCAGCTGGGCCACAGCATTCCAGCCAAGCGAGGTCCCTAGGGCGTAGCCAGCAGGTACTGGTACAGGTATTTCAGGGGATCAAAGTGCAAGAACTCACATTTGTCCTTAGTCATGTCATTACAGCTATTCCAGCTTGTCGAGATCTTCCAGGATTGTGGGGGGCCACCAGGAACAGGAGCTGAGCATGGAGGAGCTGAGCACGTACCCTTAGCCTTGAGCGATGAAGGTGCGAGACTGGCTTCTGCTCGCAGTGCGAAAGCAAGTGGGCCTCACCTTCACTCAGCAAGGAATTACAGCTCTGGGAGTGGGCGTCACCCAATGGGACTGGGCTACCCCCACCCCCGAAACCCAATCCCTTGCCTCATTTGGGTGTCTTCCCCTCAATAAATAGGGTTTCAGACCAAGGAGTAGGATCAGCTAGGGTCAAAAGGTGGTTCCATTCCCAGTTTTTCAAGGAATCTCCATGTTGCTTTCCATATTGGCTGCACCATTTTGCAGTCCCACCAGCACTGTATGAGTGTGCCTTTTCCCCACATCCTCGCCAACACTTGTTGTTGTTTGTATTCTTAATAGCTGCCACTCTGACTGGAGTGAGATAAGTCTTAGAGTAGTTTTGATTTACATATCTCTAATTGCTAGAGATTTAAAAACAGCATACACAGCCACATCAGTGTTTACTGCAGCACAATTCACAATAACTAAACTGTGGAACCAACCTTGATGCCCTTCAGTAGATGAATGGGTAAAGAAAATGTGGTAAATATACACAATTCTCAGCATTAAAAGAGAATGAAATCTGCAGGTAAATGGATGGAGTTGGAGAAGATAATGCTAAGTGAAGTTAGCCAATCCCCCAAAACCAAATGCCAAATGTTTTCTGTGATATAAGGATGCTGATTCATAGTGGGATTGGGAGGGGGAGCATGGGAGGAACAGACGAACTCTAGATAGGGCAGAGGGAGGGAGGGGAAGAAAGGGGAAAGGGAGTAAAAAAAAATGGTGGAATGAGATGGACATCATTACCTAAGTACATTATGAAGACACGAATGGTGTGAATATACTTTGTATACAACCAGAGATATGAAAAGTTGTGCTCTCTATGTGTAATATGAATTGTAGTGCATTCCGCTGTCATATATAACAAATCAGGATAAAAATTTTAATAGGGTTTCGGCATGCTGTCTCTCTTTTGCCAGCCTCCCTTGCCTTCTCTGTGGGAGCTGGGGCCGAGGAGCCATCACTGAACCCCAAGAAAAAGGTACTTTCTGTGTCTGTGCGATTATTCAGCCCAATTCACCTGGAGTGACTCTGACTGATTTAGTCGCATGCTGCAGCACTGGATCCTGAGACAATCAAGTAAGTTAGTTCTCCCGCTCAGTTTTGTGTCACCGTCCGTGGCCACCTCTGATGCACGTGCCCACATGTGGCACATCAATACTCATATTTGACTTAGTGATAAAAGTCAAGGAGGAGGGTGCCACACGTCATGCCCCGAGGCCCTGAGCCATGTCTGTCTTACGGCCTTTAAGCAGGAACCCTTAGGGTCAGCTGCACCAAGATTCACCAAAGCACAGTACCGTTGTGCTGCTCCAGCCATGTCCCCCAAAGGGGCCAATGAATATGTCACCAGGGTCTTTTAAATCCAGTCCAAGTCCATCTACCCCCATGGGCCTGTGTAGTAACTGCTGGTTTCCTAAGGCTGCTAAAATGACTTGCCACAAACCAGTGGCTTAAAATTAGGCGAAGTTATCATTTTGCAGTTCTGGAGGTCGGAAGTCTGAAATGGGTTTGGGACTTAAATCAGGATGTTAGCAGGGCTGCTTTCCTCCTGGAGGCTCCGGGAGAGAACCTTTTCTTGGCATTTCTAGCTTCTGGAGGCGGTCCACATTCCCTGGCTCAGGGCCCCTTCCCCTCTCATGAATCGAGTCACTCTGATCTCTGCTGCCTTCACCATCATCTCTCATCCTCTTGCCTCCCTCTGATAAGGAGGGAGATTATATTAGGGCCCAATCAGTAATCCAGGATCCTCTCCCATGTCAAGATCCTTAAATTACTCATACCATGGAAGGCAACGCATTATTAGATTCCAGGGGTGAAGACAGGGACATCTTGGTGTGGGCGGTATCATTCAGTCAACGAAATAAACAAATAAATAGGTAAGTAGATTAATAAATAAAGGAAGAACAAGCTACATACCTGCCTCAATTGTAAAAGAAGTTTTTTCCTCTGAACTTTGAGAGAAATATTTTTCAAACGTAATTTATCCCTCAAATTATCCTAACAAACAAACAAAAGCAGAAGTTAATGAATTTCTTTTCTGTTGTTTTGACAAGTAGACTTAGGGGTGCAAACCAAACCTGAACCCTAACGTTTAGTCGTTTATTTTCAGATCCCTCTATTTCTGCCTAAGAAAGCCATGTGATGGCATTTCACTTACCATCAAGATGCAGAGAAAACTGGGTCCAATCCATGTGAATTTTACAATGCTTTTAAATTCAAGATTATTTGGATGTGGTATAGGGGACTTTCCTGACAAAATGATCTCATGATTCATGTTGGTCGTATATTCTTCTGATAGCTATTACTCATAGCATGTTAGAGTTACCAAGCCAATCTAACTGTCCCCAGGGTCCAAATCTTGCCATGCTATAAAATCTCCAGAAATGAACTCATTATATGCCCCCACATTCTCTTTCGGTTCCCATGCCAGCCTGGGGTCCATTTCCTAATAGTAAGGACATCCAAAGAGCTTGAGATTGACCTGTCCCATTCCATGTAGTCACCTGACTAGCCCAGCCCCACACCTCTTCAAGAAAATACATTAGATCTTGAAACAAATAGGAACACCAGAAAAGAGGAAGCTGGCTGGGTATGGTGATGCACACCTATAATCTCAGGGGTTTGGGAGGCCGAAGCTGGAGAATCACAAGTTTGAGGCCAGCCTCAGCAACTTAGCAAGACCCTGTCTCAAAATAAAAAATAAAAAGGGCTGGGGATGTGGCTCAGTGGGTTCAATGTCTGGTATAAAAAAGGAAAACAAAAGTCAGTCTGATATTCTGTCAATATTCATCCTGCTTGACTGGTTTTAGCCTAGATAAAAATGCATTCTAAAAACACACCACACACCACACACCACACACACACACACACACACACACACACACACACTCTTCAGGGGATGTGAAAACCATGCATATGTGGGCAACATATACAAAGTTAGGCAGCCCCACACGCATAATTTGTATCATTCTATGAATCCATTCTCCCTTTGGAAGCTCTAACCCCCAGCCACTCACCCGCCGGTGGTTCATGTCCTCGATGTACTTCAGCACTTTCTCAGTGGCCAAAATACTCCCTTTCTTCTTGGTTATGGTTCTTAGAATATCTTTTTCAAAGTCATGCACTGCTCTCTGGACTTCAGTCCACCGAATATCAGCTTCCTCGATGATAGCCTGGTCAAGGCAGCACAAGAGAGGAGAGTTTCCAAAGCTTCTCAAGGATAAATCCGCTGAGGATACCCAAGTTCCCAGGTCTTTGTCCCCAGGCCACATGCCTCTTAGTTTTAGAGCTCTCCTTAAGGTATAAACCTGATTATATAAATATTAATATTAAAAAGCATGCTTTGGAAAAGTGATAGTATCCATAAAAAGTGAGCAATCAGAAATGAGGTCTCAGATATAAGTATGTATTTCCATATCTGAAATATTATGCACCCATTAAAAATTATGTCATGTGGAAAATACCTGAGAGGATACACAGCAAAACTGGAACCCAGTTAAATCTAAACAAATGAAGTAGTGAAATAATAAAACATTCCTATTATACACTTATGTAACTTGAAAAAAAAGATGTTCCCAGTGATGAGAAGTAATATGCCATATACATATAATATGTCAGAATATGCTCTACTGTCATGTGTACCTAAAAAGAATAAAAAAGTTTTAAAATATGTTATCAATGAATCTATATCTATATATAGATATGCATATAGAGAGCCCCCCTTATCTATATTTTCATTTTCTACAACTTAACCATCTGAAAGCATTAAATGGAAAATTTCTGAAATAGGTAATTCACAAGTTGCAAATTGTGCACCATTCTGAATAGCATGATGAAATCTCACGCTGCCCTTCTGTGTCCTGACTGGGACATGCATCATCCCCTTGTCCAGTGTACCTTTCTATAATATGCTACTTGGCCATCAGTCACTCAGGAGCCACCTCAGATCAGCTGTGGTGCACTGCAGGGCTTGCATTCAAGTGATCCTTATATTACTTAATTAGGGCCCCAAAGAGCAAGAGTAATGATGCTGGGACAATTTTATTACTGTGTATTGTTATAATTGTTCTATTTTATTATTAGTAACTGTTAATCTCTTACTGTGCCTAATTTATAAATTAAACTATATCATAAGATGTATACAGAGGAAAAAACATGGTACATATAGGGCTTGATACTATCCAAGGCTGCAGAAATTCACTGGATGTCTTGGAACACATCCTCTGAAGATAAAGGGGAATTACGGTGTATTGACGTGGAAAGATATTGTTAAAAAAAAAGATACAATTCACAAAACAATGATACCTTTTAAAAAAGAAATTCATATATGCATAGGAAATGATCTAAACTCTAAAAGTAGATAAATTCAGTGGTCAACCATAATGGCTTCTGGTTGGAGGTACCATTGTGAATGTTTTCAATTTAAAAATGCTGTATAACAAATATGGATTGCCTTCGAATAAACACACATAATTTTAAAAATTATTTTTAGTTGTTGATAGACCTTTATTTTATTTATTTATACGTGGTGCTGAGAATCGAACCCAGTGCCTCACACACTCTACCACCACTGGCTACAACCCTAGGCCTCCACACATATAATTTTAAAGCATAAAATGAGACGGTATCTATGGTCTCACTGCAAATCATTCCAGTTCAGGATTCTCCCATGGCACTATTGCAAATTTTTAAGGGCATGTATGGTTATTGGGGTTACATTTTAAAAAAATCCATATCTTAGTGACATATCTAAAATACTTAGAGATAAATGGTATGTCTAGGATTCTCTGCATAACAGCCCAGTGGGGTGAGGGGAAAACAGGTTGGGACATCGATGATCCAAGAGTGGCCATATGTTGGCATTTGCTACATCTGAGTGTTGAGTCCATAGGGATTCATGGTGTTAATTCTCTACATTTGAGTATATTTGAAATTTTCCATTTAAAATGGTTTAGATTTTGTTGTTGCCTCAAGCAAGTAGTAAGTTCTTTAAAGACCTGCTCTCAATCTGTCTTATCCTACTTCTGTTTCTTCCAAAGCATCAATAATAACACAGACACACCACAGGAACTTCTTGACCAGGTGGAAATGGGAGTCCAAATAGGTTAATGAGACTGAGAGAAGGGTCACCTCGTGGTACTGTAGGTCCCGCTCAGCATTTGCCCTCATGTGCCTCAACTCGTCCTTCATGTCTTCCAGCTCCTTTTGCACAAGCTCAAGTTTTTGTTCGACACTGAGGCTTATCATACGGTCACCTGCCCGGGGTTTGGATTTACGCCTGCTCCGTAACTGCAACCCAACAAAACCAAAGCCACTGTCAAAGAGGTGGGCATCAACATGATTCTTCAGAACTGCTAGAACTTATCCCAAAGGAGAGCCAGGGGAAACAAACTCATGGTRAAAGGATTCTGGATATTTGGCCCAAGGTGGCATTTATTTCACAAGTCAGCCTAAGATCCTATGCTAGTTCCCTTGAAGACCCATGTTTGATAATGAACTAAAAATTAGTAACTGAAAACTTCTTGCAGGTGGAAAGACTGTGAATCACTGTAGACTAGAATTTAAATCAAGATCAGGAGAAGGCTGGAACTCAGCGCTTCCTAAACTGAACACAAAGAGAAACTGCATCCAGGGGCACAGTGTTCAGCAAAACAGACAAATAAATTAAAGTCTTGGATTTCCTAGACATTTAAGGCAAAGGTCACAAGTAAGTGATCCAGGTAATCTTGGGCCTCAAAGTAACTTTATTTGATTTTCAAAGGATTAAACCTACACAGATAGGCCCTCTGAGACAAGGGCTACCTACCAGCAGGTCTTCTACGGCTGAATCCTCCAATTTAAGAGATTTCTTTCAAATAAAATAAGATATTCTGGGAGAGTTAATTCACCACAAATTGAACCTGACACCCTTCACATTGATTTGAAATAGAAACTCTAGCACACCACAGATAGAAACACAAATACCACCTGCATATAAGGGGACAGATAGGATAAAGTACAGTTCAGATCTCTATTTGGTACCTGTGCAAATTCTGCTGCTGTTATTTTAACATCTGAAATTCGCAGAGGTCGGTATTCCCTAGACTCCAGTTTACAGCAGTATTTCTCAAACATCTCTGTCTCCGTTTTGAGAGCAGAGTTTCCATAGCTGCAAGACAGTGGGTTACTGAAGTTAAGTTCTAATAGGAGTTTAAACCCCAAATAACCAGTCCTTAACATTTATTGGCCACGTGTGCAAGACATGCAGCCTCTTGGTATCTTATTTCTCTCACCTATAAAAAGGAAATAAGAATTGCATCTCCCTGTTAGTGTCGCAACAAGGAATGCAAAAATTTTAAGACAGTTGCTGGCCACATTCAAGTGCTGTTTAAGGCTCGGATATCTTTATTATTATGTTTAATGAGCCCCCAAAGTTGCAACACTGGTATTATATTGAAAATTGTTGTACTGATTTTATCTTCAAGTGTCATCTAACTCATTTGTGAAATTCCTTCAGAATCTCTATTTTTTTGAAACTACACATATCCACCAACTCCAGGTGTTTCCTTTGGTTTATATTTCTCAACTCTTTTATTTCTAGCACCCAATAGATGAAAGAATCTGCTGGAAGTTTATCATAAATTGTGAAAAACTTTGAACAATATCTTTTTAAACAACTAGAGATGACAAATTTAGTTTAGCTTCTTAACTTCTCGTATATATAACTTACATGTTTTAGATCTATGTGCATAATGCATATATATTTTACATATACATGAGTGAGAATGGCTTTGATGTTTTCATATGTTACTGAGATAATTCCTGTTGGACTGAATTTTAAGATTAGTGGAGAAGGTTGACTAGAAAACACAAAATACCAAAATGTCTAGCTTTCTCAGCATATATCACATTCCCAGTATAGCCTGTGGAATTGTCCCTGAATCTGAATCCCAGCATGAGTACTCTCAAGCTGTGTGAACTTAGGAAAGTGCCTTAACCTTTGTGTGCCTCCTAGGATTGCTGTATCATTATATATGATCATATATGCAAAATACATGGCACATAATAACACTCAAAAAGTGTTGCTCTTGGTAATAAGGCCTCAATTCAATTCTGGCCTAAACTATTTATAGATGCATAGAAATAACATCTGTTCAACTTCCAGAGTCAGGATATTCTGTGCAAAATCAGTTAAGTTGTGCGATGTACCTTAACTACATCATAGAATCATGATATCCCATTTACTTACTCAGATATAAAACAGACTGCTAAAAACCTACTGGGCCTGTGGTTCTTTTTAGTCTACCTCCATACTTACTCTCTGGCTCAAGCCCAGGTTGCCTCACAGCAAAATCATTTGGACAGCTTCCTTCTATCCTGCTTCCATATTAATTGTACCATAGAATCTTAGCATTGGAAAGCCTTTTCTGGTGCAGAACAGGGGAACAGTTAGGCACACAATCTGGCACTACGCAGACACCAGGCGAAACTCCAACGTCACCAATGACCCTCTGGGCCCCCCCCCCAGGCCCCGCCCTTTCGCGCCTTCGCCAGGTCCTAGCAACAGCTTGTCAGCTCAGTGGCAACGAAGACTCAGGACACCCACTTGGGGGGTCTTGGACTTCCCAGCGTTCAGTGTGGACTTGGATGGTCTCCAGGCTGGAGCCAAGGTCCGAGGCCACTCGGCAGGGGATCCACCGTACCGAGAAGCGGCCAGCAACAGCCGACGGGGGGTACCTGAGCTCCTCCACCAGCCCGCACAGCTGGATAACAGGAAGCTCGCTGTCCTCTCCCGTCTGGGAATCGGTGTGGACGCTCTCAGAGTCCTCGTCAGTCATCGCTGTACCCAAGCGGCCCTTGCCAATGCCGAGTGTGCCCAGGAGCGCCGGACGCTAGCCGCCACGCGTCACTCAGGCTGCTACTCAGTGGAGCGTTGCCTGGGCGACCGGACGCCGGCAGAGGGGCGGGGCTGCGGAAGGCCCCGCCCAGTGCTCCTCGGCCTGTCACCGCGCTGACCTGAGCCAAGTTCCGGGCCTTCTCAGCCACCACCTAAGCGCATTTAGCTTGCTTGCTTTCTTTCTTTCTTTCTTTCTTTCTTTCTTTCTTTCTTTCTTTCTTTCTTTCTTTCTTTCTTTTTATTTTTCTTTTTTAACAATAGCTTTTAAATTGACAGTCATACTAGCAGCTACCGTTTGCTCAGCACTTCCTATGTCTTTGGCACTGTGTGAAAGCACAGTTTATGAAAATGCTTGCATCAACCCTGTAATAATATTATTCTGCCTATTCTTCAAAACAGGTTCCTGAGGTCCAGACAGTTAAAACGTTTTGTCTGTCTTTCCCCACGAGGCCCATACCCTGCTCACCACCTGCTGTTTCATGCATGCTAACTGCAGTTTCTCTCAGATATCAACACTTTCGTATAAATTCAAGAAACATGACTAAATAGACACTAATCTCTGCTGAGTCCTGAGTACCCAGGGGGAATATGCGGAAAAGACATTCTGGCCCTCGAAGGGTTTCTAGTTAATTGAGGAAAATGGCCCCTAAACAAGCCAATGCAGCCTGTTTGACTTGGTTGATCCCAGTAGCAACATACTTGACACAATTGTCCGCTTAGAAGTGGTTAAATGGTAATTTCATATTTTGTTATTTTAAACCACAATTAAAACAAAAAGTAAAGCAGTGAAACCAAATGTGAACTTCAGGATGTTCAATCCCTCATACCCTAAATAAATAAATAAATCCTGAACTTGACCTCTTCTCATAGCTATGACCATCCTGGTCCAAGTCACCATCATCTCTTGCCTGAATTCCCACAGTTACCTCTCCACTGTGTATTGTTACACACCAATAAAACTGGAACGAGGGTGGGGGTGGGACTCTTACAGAGTGAGGGTAAGAAGAAAAGAGGAGGAGGGGAGAGCCAGGAAGGAAGGAAGGAAAGAAGGAAGGAAATTCTACCAACTCCCATATAAAAATTAGACCATGCCTCATTGGCACAGAACCCTCCATGACTTCCCATGTCACTTAGAGTAAGATCCTAAATCCCTTATGGCGGTATACCCTCTCCACCGCGCACCTGCCAGTTTCCTCTCAGACCTCAGTTCCTGCCCCAACCCCTTCTCCTCCTCCTTTCCAGTCCCACTGGTCTCCTGGCTGTTGCTCAAGCATGCCAGACATGCCCCTGCCTCTGGGCCTTTCCCTGGCAATTCCCTCTGCCTGGACACCCTCCCCTCAGATGAACCACACGACTGCTCCCTTCACTTCCTTCAGATCTGATTCTCTTTCAAGGACGTCCCCTCCATTCTGCCTGCTTCTCAGCCCTGGAAACTTAGCCAGCAAAGTAGGTTGATTCTGAAACAAGCACCCGGAATCCAAGGGGCGGAGTCTGTGTTTTCAGGCTTCCTGTCAGGGCAGAAGAGTTCACCCCAACACAGCCTATCTATCCCCCACCACTCCTGGGGACAGGGCTGCCAGCCCTCACTTTGCCCCTTCAAGTTGTCGCCCTACCTATGATTGTGTTATTGATAGTCCCCCCCTCCCTGGACCCCTTCCCCCTGCCCTTCCTGCCACCCTAGACACTGTGCAATAGTATGCAACTGCAATGTCCCCAAAGATCCATGTGGTAAAGGCTCTACAGTTCAGGCCGGGCACAGCACCTGTACAAGCACACCAAACTGGCCATGCTGCAGGTCCCCAGGTGCCTTGCCTTGCTTGATGGTTCCAGCTCTGCCTGGGTGAGTACCAACAACACCTTTGCTAAGGTCTCTTAGGTGGCACTGTGTGGAATTCTATTTCCTAAAGGATCCTGACTAATAAATACATCTAGGCTCCACTGCCTGAGGATTGCACCTCAGCTCCAAAAACTGTTTGCCCACTGGACAGAGAGATTTACTCTACAGATACCCCAGAAGAGGGGACTGGCACATACAAGTCACTCTAAACCGTAAGTCATTGACTTCTGTTCTTGGAGTTTGGCTCTTGAAGGTGGTGGCCAGTGTCTAGAAGAAGTGGGGAAGGGAATGGCTTGGAGGTGGGGGAGTCAGAAGCAGATTGTTTCATGACCCAGGATTCCAGCCTTGGCTTGGCCACTGGCTGCTTAAAACGTGTGCCTCCCAATGCTTTTGGTCCCTCAACTTCCATCTCTGGAGAACGGGGACAATACTTTATAAGTGATTACCCTATGCATCTTACAAGGTTACTATCAGGCTTAAGTGGTGTGGAGCAAGAAAAGGTAGTAGTTTAAATGTATGAAGCCAAGATGGGCACCCAGCATCTCCTCCACCAGGGAGGAGCCATTGTCCCAGATTGGCAGCAGTTCCTAGTAGATTATGTGACAAACTGACTCAGCTTTCAGGCTTTAAATAATAATAGTGATAATTGTCATTGCTATTTCTTATATATTTATTACCCATTAGGCAATGTTCTAATTGCTTAATAAAACACATACCAATTACTGTTTCAGTTACTATTTATTGCGTGCTGGCTCTCTGTTCCACGCGGCGTGGAGCACGTTCTATGATTATCTTGTTTCTTCATCATGAAGATTCTCTGAGATACAGAGACCTTCATGACCCTATTTTACACATGATGAGAGACAGAGGTTCAGAAAAGTTATACAACTTGCCCAAGGTCACGTAGCTCTTCTGGGTGGGGCTGAAATCCAGGTTCACCTAGCTCTGCTCAGTGTTCCCACCCTATCCATCCTGGTGGAGCAGGGGTCCCCAGAAGATAAGTAAAGACTCCCACCATGCGCCCCCCAGAGGACTCTGGGCAACTCTGAGATGTTTTTGTTTGTCCTAACTGAGGAGGGTGCTTCAGGGAGCCAGTGAGTTGCAGCTTGCCTTAGTTTCCACAGTTGCCATAACAAAGGACAGCAAAAGCCAAAGCAATTTGTTCTCTCCCAGTGCTGGAGGCCACTGGAATCAGGCCACTCTCCTGCTGGAGGCTCTGGGGAGGAACTCTTCCCGGACTCCTCCTAGCTCCCTGAGACTCCTGGCAATTCCTGGCATCCTGTGGCTTGTGCCTACCTGGCTTCTCCTGATCTCTCTTCACATGGCCTCCTTCCCTGTGTCTTTGTGTGTTCTCGGCTCTATTTCTACGTCATCAGATTTGTTTTTCTTCTTTTAATTTTATTTTCAACTGAAAGATAATTAATTATAGATCATTAGAGTTAGAGTCAATTCTAAATCCAGAATGATTTCATCTCAATATATGGAACTAATTACAATGGCAAAGACCCTTATTCCAAATAAGATCACATTTGGGGGTTTCAGGTAGACATGAATTTGGCACGGGGACTTTTGAACCCACTACACTGGTGAACACCCTGAAATGTAGTCTCCACAACAAAGACTTACCTGCCTCCAAAAACCAATACATCAAGGAACTCTGCTCTGGAGATACACCTCTTCCCTGAGAAGCAAGGAGGTGTCTCTGCTCATCAAGATTGCCACAAACAGCAAGGGTCTCAGAGTGAGTGGCTTCAAATCCAGAGGCCATCCCCTCCTGTTGACCTCCCCCACCACTTCCACTGATTTAGCCTCCAGTATCTCCATGTGGCTTCTGCCCCCTGCCTGCTCCTTTGCAGGATTTTGTTTTGAACGATAGGGTCAGATCCACCCAAGTATTAAATGTCAGCCATAATTCAGAAGTGCTTATCCTCTTCTTCCTCCCCAAAGGGGAAGGTAAGATGCTTGAAAATCAAATAAAGGAACTCAGGCTCATAAACAAGTGACTGTTTGCAAATTATAGAAACAATGCCAGCCATGTGAGGTAGATGTTCATCGATGGCTACCAGAGCCTTTTCCTTCATTCTTTCAACAAATGTTTATTGAGCGCCTACTGTGTGCTTGGCCCTGGGCCTGCAGTAGTGAGCAGCAGGGCCAAGGGTGTCCCTGCTCACTTGGAGCTTCCAATCTAGTGTCAACAACCATGGTCCTGGGTGGTGGTACCCAGAGTGAAAGTATCAGGTACCCCAGATTTCAAAGCATCAGGAAAGTGGTCTCCTGGAGCAAGACTGCATTCTTGGTCCAAACTCAACCATAAGCTGAGTCCTCAAGCAAAGGCAAGAGTGGCATCGGGGAAGGGAAGGACCTGTGGAAAGTTCCAGAGAACAAAGAGAACTGAGGGAAGGTCAGTCTAGGCTCCACCTCTTTAGAAGAGAGCAAAGCAGAGAACGTCATGACTAACATCTGCTTTCTGGTTTCCTCCTGTGCTCGGGTGGCTCCTGATGGCCTCCTTGTCTAGCGGAAGCTGTGGGATGCTTTCTGTGGGTGTCCATGTTGAACTTGCTTGCCTTCTCCTCAGAGTTCCAGGAGGGGGTGTCTAGGATGGACCTTCAGGACCAAGCCTTTTGACCTCATTCGGATGCAGATGGCAGCATCCGGAGTGGCCAGGCATCTTTGGTGTGCAGAAGTTGCTTTGTCCCAGTCAAGAGTGAAGCAGAGGCATAAAGTCCCCACAGAGTTTAGAGTGGAGGCTTGTTCCCTGACAAAGGAGCTCCCATTTAAAAAATTTGAATCAGAGGCACATAATAAAGGGCTGGGAGCCATGGCCAGCATTACCTGTGCTTCCTATTCCCTCTGGATCAGAGAGGAATAAAGGGCTTACCAGCCTGCGCTCGAAAACAAATGTGATCTGGGTTCAAATTCTGTCCCCGCCATTGACTAGTTGTGTGACACATCACCACTCTGAGGCTCACTGCTTGTCCTCACAGTGCTGCCCTCCAGGGGTGTGTGTCCATGGGTGCATTGGAGGGGTCACCAGATCGTTCCTGTAAGAGCTCAGCACAGGACTTGGGCCCCCAAAAGGGCCCAGTCCTTTGGACCACATTTCT